CCTTGTTGTCAAGTTCGTGTCATGTCTGTCTCCATATTTCCTGTTTTATTTTGAAAGGCTCTGGTGTTCTTGCTCATTGCATTTAGTGCCCCTGTCCTGTCATTAGGTTCATGTGTGGCAGCTGTTCTTCCTCATGTGTTCCCCTGATCACCCCTGTGGGTATTTAGTCTGTGTACCTTCCCTCTGGTCAAGTTAAGTGTTTTTCAGGATTCTGTGCAGTTCGTGTTTGCCATTTGGTTTATGTTGTTTTTCATGCAGCCGCACGATGAGGTTCCATGCAGGTCATGTTCATGTCTGTTTCGTCACGCCATTTGGTTCACAGTTTCCATGCATCTGCACAGCATTCTGTTCACAGTGATCATAGTTTTCCCTTTCAGTCGTGTTAGTGTTTTTCCAGTTTAGGTTTCTGGTTAGTTGCCTCTCTGTCCCTGTTATGTTTTGTCTACTCCCCTCTATATCAGCCCAAATAAAGGCTCGCTTTCAGTTTAAGTTCACTCCCGTCTCCTCACCTGTGTTCGCACCTGGGTCCACCACACACACCTCCTTATAGCGCTTTATCACCCCAGTAGAGCGCTTTGTTCTCAGACTGTTGGCTTACTTGTGGTTCCAGGATATTTAAAAGTAGAATGGGAGACTTAAGCTTTAGCCCAGTTTGGATTTGGGCACCAGACACCCTCTTAGGCTTAAAAAAAACATTTTTCATGAAGCATATATTTAGGGCTGCATCAGGTGACCCTGAATTCTCCCTCAGTTATTCTGCAGAAGGCCTAGGCTGCTGGAGGCTTCCCATGATGCTATGAGTGTTTTTTCGCCCCGCCCTGTGTGTTTATACACCCCTCTGTATTTTGTTATTAATCCCTGGCTTTGTTCGACACCTTGTCTTTTGTCCTGTCTCCCTCCCCTCACCAGGGACCCGTCACAGCCCTGAGCCTGCTTGTGCTGGACGTTTCTTCCGGTTAAAAGGGAGTTTTTCCTTCGCACTGTCACCAAAGCGCGTGCTCATAGGGGCTCATCTGATTGGGTGCAGTTTTCTCTCTTTTCTCTTTATCATTGTAGGGTCTTTACCTTACAAATAAAAGCCCCAACTTAAAACCTTTTAATGACGCAGCCTTCCGATGTTGTTTTGTTAAGTTTTTCACTCCCTTAAGTCACTTTTCCAAAAACTGACTGCAGCTTCTACCTGGTGATAGGAATGTTCTTTCTGGCTCAAAAGGCATTGATGTTATTCCCGAGAGGCATGTTTGACATATGTTTGACGGATTATAGGCCAAGAAGTCATTTCTGAAAGTTTACATTCTTGCAACAATGGATGCCCAATGCATCCATAAGGCAGCATGTTAGTGCAAGAATCTGAGCTAATAATTAACTAATTTTTATTCTTTAACTGTGTGTTATTTTACAAATTTAAAGTATTGTGTACAATTTATCATCAGTTTTCACTGGATGCCTAAATACATGTCATAGTGTGAGTGTGACAGTAGGTGTGTTTTATGGATACAGGAAGTCCAAAAAGCATAGCTGAATATTCCTGAGATGCTGTCTGTGATCTCTATGTTATATGAAATCATTGTTCAAATTGCATTATATAACCATTCAATATAAACTCACTGGACACTTTATTAGGTACACCTTGGTGGTACTGGGTTTGACCCCTTTTTGCCTTCAAATCAGTCTTAATTGTTTGTGGCATAGATTCAACAAGATGCTGGAAATATTCCCCGCAGCTTTTGGTTCATACATGATAGCATCACACAGTTGCAGCCGCGTGACGTGTACAGACCATTCTCTGTAAATGCCAGATATTGCTATGTGGGAAAAATCCCAGCAGACCGTCTGGCACCAACAACCATGTCATGCTCAAAGTCACTTAAATCCTCTGTTTTTCCTCATTCTTATGCTCAGTTTGAACTTTAGGAGGTTTTCGTTTCTATGTCTACATGCCTGTATGTTGCTCCCATGGGATTAATTCATTGGATATTTGCATTAACAAGCAGCTGAAGAGGTGTACTTAGGTAAGGCAGAGAGGGTTTGGACATGTGTAGAGAAAGGGTCGTGGATATATTGGACAAAATATGTTGAAGATGAAGCTACCAGGAAAGAGGAAAAGAGGAAGACCTCAGAGAAGGTTTGTGGATGTAGTGAAGGAGGACATGCAGAAGGTTGGTGTGACGGTATAGGATACTAGAGACAGGGTGAGATGGAGGCAGATGATCTGCTACGGTGAACCCCACAGCAAATCTTCTGCAGTCACCAGAAGTGGAAGATGAGGGCTCGGCTTTTGTTCATTCACTTTGGCTTTAAGATCATCCTCCCTTTAGGCCAGCTTTGTTCTGATTGGCTGCCCTTCCCAAACAGAGAAGCTGGTAGGTGGAGCTGCTGTGCTGATAAAACTACTTTAAGGACGTCTCCACACAATGACATCATCAAGAGTGCTTTGAGCAGTGCGAGGTTGTGGATCACAGCGCAGACACCGACTGTATCACTTTAAACACTCTGTGAGACAAACCTTTATTCTGTCTCACACAGACTCAGAGCTACGGTTAGAAGGCTGCTCGTGTTCTTTCTAATTGAACTCAGTGATTTTTGTCCCCAGGGACGAATCTTGGAATTAATTCATATTGATCACAAATGCACCCTGAGAGAGACGTAGACGAGTAAATTAACTTCATAGCTACATTTAATTAGAAATGCACCATCAGCATCTGTGTTGGAGTCCTTGTTAGTTTTAGGTTATAGGCCGCAGTTAGCATGAAAGGAAACTGAAAATAAAACACAACGTTTGAAGTTTCATGAACCAGTACATTGATATTATATGCAGGTCTGTACTGTACTGTGTGTGTGTGTGTGTGTGTGTGTGTGTGTGTGTATTTACCCATCCAGCCTCTCCTGATTACAATCTGTTTTCATCAGTAATGATGTTGAAAGACTTTGCCGGCAGGAACATTTGACCTACACTTTGGTAAGACACACACACACACACACACCACACGACATCATAACTCATCAGTGTTAATATACTGCTCGGAGTTGCATATTTGATTGCACGTCTAAGGCACAAAATATCAATGCTTAGATTGAACTGATGACTGACACAGAACACTGAGCACGAGGGAAACCATGTGGAAACAAAGTGAAATGAACAACTGTATCTTCCTCTGCCACGAGGAATTGGAAAATGTGGTGACGTGAGCAAAAAATGAAATGTCAGGCAAACGCTAGAGATAAATATATTCTTTAATACTAACGTCGCTGCACAGCAAAATCTCCAGTGTTAAATTAACACTGGAGAGTGTCTATATGGGTCCACACCTCTGAGTGTTAAATACAACACTGTTGACAGTGTTATATGTTTAAAAGTAACCTAGTCAGTTTTGAAGATTAACAATGGCTAACACTGAGCAGTGCTGATTTTCTAACACTGGAATATTTCTAACATTTTGAGTTATTTTCCAGAGTTAGAAAATCAGCACTGCTCAGTGTTAGCCATTGTTAATCTTCAAAACTGACTAGGTGTGTGAAAGAGGATGGTTTTCTGGATCTGCATTTTAAGATAAGATAGAACTTTATTAATCCCTCGGGTGGGTTCCTCTGGGAAATTCGACTTTTAGAATCATCCTCACTATCTGAGATTTGAAGTGAAATTTGTCTCAGCTTGGCAAATATTAACGTCCCAAAATCTCAAACCAAACAGAAGGTCTCTGTGAAGGTTCTCAGTGATCCAGGTCATCGTAGTCTAAGGAGCTTGCAAAGAAAAGCGTCTGGACTTCTTTAAGTTGCTTGAAGACGTTTCACCTCTCATCCGAGAAGCTTCTTCAGTTCTAACTGGTGGAGAGTCCCAGATTTAAACCCAGTGTTAGTTTCCCCCCAAAGAGGACCATCAGGGGGTCCTTTGTCCCTCTTTGGGGGGAAACTCCCACTGGGTTTGAAATACAGTGTACCCCTTCGGCCTCTACAATTCTCCTGTGGGAGCGGTTGGCGTCATTGCTTTCCTAACACTGTACAACACACATATAACGTATATTTAGCCACCCTGATGTTTCTGATTGTTATTTTAGTTCATTTATTGTCATCATTGTGCCTGTTTTTGTTAGATAAATGTGTAGTATGTGTGTGCCACAAATGTGTTGTAGGCGCCGTTAACGCTGAATATATAATTCTGGCTAGCTTGGAAGTTGTGATGGGCTGAGCTAACCCCCCCTGTTTGTATTTGGCTGCAGGAGCTGGAGCGAGTAAGTTAATGACTTGGACGTCTTTCTTTCCTTTACCTTTCTTTGTCAGGCACGCAAGAACACACGGTTACAATAGCAAGGGTTCGATTTATTCTATTTAAATATTTTCTTTCACTTTTTGTTCTGCTTAGTTTCATTTTAGCGTCTGTGATTTGAAGGCATGTAGGTTTGGTTTTCGTTAGTTTCAGTCTTTTTATTGTCGTGCGGAAAGATCTAAGCAGCTGACTCAGTCTTAGACGTCCAAACTCTCAATAAACATGTCAATCAAAGCCTTATCAGAAACGTGAAAAATGTTAGATATAAGATTTAAATGTTTTACCTAAAACTACGAATATTTCCTCTTTATTTTCTTTTCTTTTATTTGAGCTAGTTTTCCAAGTTCACAAAATAGTTTCATTATTTTTCATTGTTCTTTATGTTTTTTTGTCACATACGATTTTAGCTTCGTTTAATTAACCTTGCGGAGGATGGAGAAAGCAAGAACTGCCGCCTTTCATCGATGACCTTTGATTTTTATTGGGTGGCCTATTTGTGAACTAACTTGCATAATTAGATTATTGGTTACATTTATGTATCTTTAGTTATTTTTTCCACATTTACCTGCTATTCTTCGTGCTAACGGCGGTGTGTCTCTTTAACTCGGGGCAGTTCGTGAAGCCGCGATACCAAACAGACCTTGTGCGCCTGCGCAGTTTGTACAACAAATCTTTCGGGCAGCGGAGGAGACGAACGGTCGCTAATGCGCATATTTGGGGACGAAAAAAGGTAAGTCGCAGCGATAGGCGTTGTGTTTGCAGCAACACGCGGTTTCGAGAAGCAGTGAAGCCCGTAGCGTTTGGCGGGACTCTCTCCCGGGAAGTCTTTGTTTGGATCCTGTGTTGATGGCCAGATTGAATTTAAAGGTGAAGGCTCCGTGAGCCCACTAATCGACCTGCCAGGACACTAACCCGCTCAGCCACACACCACCGAAGCTAACCTAACCCGATAGAGACCGTTAGCACAGCGCCGTGTCCCCGGTGGCTGTTTGGGGCGGAGGCGCTTTGTGGTGGATGATTGTGCTGATGGTCATCTATTTTTGGATCCGTGCGGAGCGCTGGACGGCAGCCGCCATTGGTCGCTGTCACTTCAGCCACGGATGTCTCGTGGTCATGGCGTAACGACGCCCTTTACCGTGTCCCTGTTAGAAAACGTCGGTCTGTGTGAGAACAGCAGAGATGTGGTGTCTGAGAAGGAGCTTGGAAACCGTGCTGCTCGTCTTTAAGTAGGACCAAAGGAAGGGTGTAGCTGCTGAGGTGGAAGTTCTTGTTAACTGTCATCTTACTCCATCAGCAGGTTCAAACTGAAGCTTAATGCCTGTTTGCTTTTCTGCAGATAAACCCCCCCAAACAGACCCGCGGGAATCATGGGGAGTGGTAAGTTTACCCACAAGCAGAGACGGAAACACGGATTCCTCTTTTTCCTACTCGCGCTTGTTTTTCCTGTTCCATTGTGTTGATTTTCCTCATTGTCCATGCTACTAAACCACTGCAGTGCCCCCCCTTGTTGACACAGTAACAATTCCCATTCTGTCCGGGGGGAAATTCCTGTTTGGATTTTGCTCTTTGTCCTTTTTTCTGCTTTTAAGCCTTTTGCTGATCCCATTCCCGAAGTTATGAGTCAGACAGCCGTTACTTGTTAATTTGGGCATGTTGTGGCATCTGACTGTTTCCTTGGGGGAGTTTATGTTTATATTCTGGGTGTGAGAAACAGAGAGCCACCTTGTCTCTTCAAGTCCGTTCTTCCAGTTTCTTTTATTTGGCAGAGCGACGGATGCCTAAATCAAAGGAGCTTTTGTCTTTATGTAGAAATGTGGGCACTGACCAGCGCTCGGCTCGGCTGCCTTTGTTTCAGTCCCCACCTCGCTCCTCTCCCCATTTTCCTCATTATTCTTTTCCCAGCATCTCTTTCCTTTTTGCCGCCCTTTCAATGCCGTCTAAATTCCTCCCCCATGCTGTTCTGCTTGCTGACTCGCCCTCACTTTCCTGTCATCTTCATTCCTTTCCTGTCTCTGCTTGTTGATTAATGCATTTTTTTCTTTCCCCTACTCGCTCCTGTCTTTGCTTCCTCCCTCCTCCACTCGTTTCAGTGTTCCTGCCAGCAGAAGCGGCCCACTCGGTCCTGCGGAGGCTGCGCAGGGCCAACTTTTTTCTGGAGGAAATAAAGCAGGGTAACATCCAGAGGGAGTGTCGGGAGGAGACCTGCACCTATGAGGAGGCCCGGGAAGCTTTTGAGAACGAAGAGAAGACGGTGAGAGGATGAGGAGGCGTGTCGCATCACACAGTGCACATCAGAACTCCAACATGAACCACGCGTCGTTTTTCTTTAACAGGAAATCATTTCCCATTGGGGCACATTTGTGGAGTGCTGGAAATAAACAGCTTAAAGTTTTCCTGATTCTTATAGATGAGGACAAAATTATTAGCCCACCTATGAAATTTAAAGTCTTTCCCGGGTGCTTCTTCAACAGAGCATGTTTGTGCACAATAACAGAACTGTTTCAGATTAGTTTGACCGGGGTCAGTATTATTCGCCCTTCTGGAAAAATAGACCTTTTTATCGTGCCACCGCACAAAGCACTGCTGGGAAATGATGTGATTTAACTTGGTAATGCTCAGAGCTTCTAGAATCAGGATAAAACTGAAGGTTATTTTCCTATTTTCACTCAGTATAAAAACTTCAGCGAGGGTCTGAGCTATCAGTTGAGAAAGCATACAGAGTTTCCAGAGTAGAAAGCAGAGACGATGCTTATGTTTGGAGAGAGAAGTGAGAGGTGTACAACCAAAGAGCGCTGGCTCCACAGTGAAACACGGGGGTGGGAGTATTATGCCGTGGGAATGCTTCAGCCCACTTTAAACAGAGAGTCTCAGGATGGAAGGAATCGCGAAGAAAGAAGGAAATAATAATAATAATAATGGATACTTTATTGATCCCCATGGGGAAATTACTTGTTTTTTCTCTGCATTTGACCCATTCACTCAGTGAAGCAGTGGGCAGCCCACTAAGCAGGCGCCCGGGGAGCAGTGTGTAGGGACGGTACCTTGCTCAGGGGTACCTCAGGGTAGCCGTTAAGTGGATTCGAACCGCCGACCTTCCGATCATGGGGCGACCACTTTACCTACTGAGCTATCCCTTGAACTTGAAAGGAAGCTTTAGAAAGAAAACCTCAGGCAACCAGCAGCAAATCTGGGTCCTAATGTCTTCCAACACGACAACAACCCAAAACATGCCTGGTGAAGAACAGCTGGTCTGCACGGAGCCCTGACACCAGTGCCAGTCTGTGGGGGGGCCTGAAGATCTAGGCCAAGGTGATCAAGTCTGGAGGATCTTGGGAGATTCACTGAAGAAGACACGTGTTAGCATTGGGGAGCTAATCATTTTGACCCTGGTAGTAAAATAACATGATCATCCAAAAAACTAGGATGTTTGGATAATTGAAACTGCTCGCCCTTTTTAAAAGCACTTGGGAAACTTGAAACATGAAAACATGGCTTCCACTGCAGCTAAATCCCACAGGTCAGCATCACCGGTGGAGAGTAACCCACGCCAGCCGCTCTAACTACAAGTGATATTTTGTGGCGTTCATGTGTCCAGCAGTGAAATCCTGTGCCGAGAGCGGAACGAGGGTGTTTGTCAGAAAGTGATTGCGATCAGCAGGAAGAACAGCCCAGTGCAGCATTGTGTGGAGGCTGGAGCTAGGTCATGTGTGCGCTCACGTGGTCTCTTTTTGTTTGTTTGGGTGCTGTTGTCGGTTTCCTTGCGTTGCAGTAATGTGGATAAAAAGCGCTTGCAGTGGGGGGGGGTGCACGTTTGGGCTGTTTTATTGACAGTGTGGATGTTCTGTGTGCAGAGGCAGTTCTGGGAAGAATATGTGCGTGAAAGCAGTCCGCCTGGAGGCCTGGAGGCGGCGGTGGGCGGGATCCACTCGCTCTACCTGATTGTGCCGCTGCTGCTGGTCGTGGTCATCATCGCCGGCGTCGCAATCACTGTGTGGCGCTGCCACTCCCGCAAACGCTCACAGCGCAGCCCCAGCATGGGACTCTCGCATCACAACAACGTCTTGTCAGTGGTCTCTATGGACCACTGGGGGAGGGAATACCACGGTGACCAATCAGAACTCAGCATCCACAGCAGCCCAGCGTATCCAGGCTCAGAGTTTACGTCAGGGCGCGGAAGCGCCGGCGACCCGCCGCCATCTTACGAAGAGGCTGTGGGCCACACGGACGTCCAAATAGAGACTGAGCCGCCCCCACAGTATGAGGACATAGTCAACAGCAGTTCTGTTAGTGTCAGTGGGGGCCAAGGGAAGTGAACGTGTTTTTAACCAGCAGCCTAACAAAAGCCCTAACACACACTAAGACTTATTGTTTAGCAGTGCTACTGCTGTGGTTTCACCAGCCCCCCCCCTGCAATCCAACACACACGACAGAAACACTAATAACTGTTTGGTCAGTGGACTAATGCAATCATCAGTGCTGGAACAGAAGTTGCACTAACCGTTGAAGGAACGAGTGATGGTGCAATACCACGCTGCTGCTTCTCCTCACGCTGTGTCACAGCTACAGATTCACAAACAGGGTTTGTATCACAGGTGTGAGACCAATGCTTTAGTGGCGCTCGGTACCGACTGATGCCAGTTTGAGACCCGAGTGGGCGGCGTCACATCATTTGTTTTTCATCTTTGAATACGTCCTTGTCAAAAATACTTCATCCACAAGTTTGTGGTTGTACATTTGCCGTGTGTGACTCGATCATAAGTGAACATAATGCAGACTTTTGAGAAAGGACATTATTCACCAGCCGGTCTCTCGTGGTGGGCCGGGAGCCTGCATGTGGCTCCAATGAGGGTTTTACCTGTAAACAGTAAACAGATGTCAAGGCATAATATATTTTTTTTTATTTAACCAGGAAGATCCCACTGAGATTAAAAACCTCTTTTTCAAGGGAAACCTGGCCAAGATAGGCAGCAGCAGGTGTCTCCCAGTTACAGAAATGACTCAGTTAATATGCCTTAAACCATGAGGTGACACGCCAAACCAAAGCATTGGTCCATCTTTAGTAAACACAAAGGGTTAAGGGAAGGAGGGCAGTTATGCGTCATTACCTGCTTATATTTCGGTAACGCCTGTAGTTCATGCTGTCCTCGTGAGGTTAGAGGTGTCTCCGTACTGTCTAATTTGATTTAATGGTCAGGACTCACTGGCCCATGAACACTAGTGGGGCCTCTGACAGCTGCTTTAACTGTGGAATGCCCTCCTTCCCAAACGGACCTCCTGGATGTGAAGCTGCAGCTGTGCTACAGTTACTGACTTGCACATAAATGTGGGGCAGAAAGCAGCAGAGACGGGTTGTCAGGGGAAGCTTCTGTATTTACAGTCACCGTGGATAAAGTCTATGTTTAGCATGAGTAATGTATCTATGTAACTGTGTATCTGTGTGCAAACATTACGGGGAGGCATTTTTTAAAGCTTAAAGGCCAGTGACTGCACCGGTGCTGATGTAACCGTAGTACAGTCGGTTGTGAATAATGGAGGGGCGAAGCTCAGAATGAGCTGTTTCATGGAAAGTAGGACAGTCTGTTTCACGTTTGCTGTGTCACTCAGCAGTAACAATGACGTTGTAATCCTCAGAGTGCTCGGTCTATATGAAACGCTGCTGCTGCTGCATACACTCTAAAGCCAAATATGTCGTCACTAATGCTGATCACTGTCACGCAGCAGAGCACTGAACGTTTGCAGCGTGACCTTTGAGCCTCAGCACTCGCTGCGACACTGAGCTGACTCGTGCTGGTAGAGGTAGCAATTTTGGTTCGGCCACTTGTTGTACTGTTACTTAACCGAACCCTGTTTTTACAAAGCCTTATCGAGGAAAAACACGTTACATAACACTAAAAGTAAGGAGCTTGTTATAAATCTTTCACTTGTGCAAAAGCTTGAATTAATTTGTAATAAAATATTTAAAACTCGCTGCATGAATCTTTCAGCGTCTCGAGAACATGTTCAGTTTGTTTGGGTGAGCACTTGTTGCCCCCCCGCACTGTTACCATCATCACTCACAAAGGGACAAATTATTCATCGCCTGGTGGTTTTCCAGGCGCTCACAAAGTGAGATTCTTACCAAGGATACAGATGTATCCAGTGTGAGCTTCACTTTATTTTAAAGGAACAGAAGAAACTGTAGATAAGACAGATTGTTGTTTCCACCTGGCCTGTGACTCACATTCGTCCTCTGTGGGTCAGAGATCGTTTACTGCTGTTCAAACAAACCATAAAGTGATTCATTAACCACAAATCAAAGACCAGCACAAAGTGAATGGGCCTCAGCAGAGAGTGGCGAATATCCATTTATTCATTTTGTGGCAGAAACAGTCATTGTGGACATTGAAACCAGCTTCTATTAACATTAGATGGCAGAGCTGACACAGTGGCTCAGTTTGTCCTTTTCAGGTGTTTGTTGAAAGCGAGCAGAGGACGGCTTTAACAGCTTTGAGCAGAGCGAGCCACATTTAGCTGGTCATAGAACAAAACACACACGTTTAAAGGAGCACAACGGAAGTGCAGCTGACCTGAAAAGGAGGTCGCCCATTAAGTCACATTATTTGGTCTTGCAGTAAGCAATGGCACCAAGCTCATGAACTGAGTTTGACATTATTCAGGGTCCGTTTTACCACGGCTCGTTTGACAAAATGAAAAAGCTCTTCAGACATCTACAGCGCAGCTCCATATTATAAAAGCAGGGTTAAATGTTGCCCAGCTGGTCGATCAGCCAGCTTTATAAAATAGATGTTTTTGTCCATACTGACGTCCAAACCCGGGGGCGCTCCGGTCACACCCAGTCTTTGGGGTTTCGTAACGCATCCAGCATCTCAGCCTCCCGGGTGCCTTTGGCAGGCTCGTGCATGTACTCCCACCTGAGGATGACGAGTGATTCTGTTACCACGCGACGCAGGCAGCCTGCTGTTGACACAAGCGAGGTGCAAACAGTGCTTTGAAGAGGCAGCAGCTTACCTTGCGGTGAGTGGGAGGGACATGAGGATGCTCTCGATTCTTGAGCCGGGCGTGGCCAGGCCAAACTTCACTCCCCTGTCGTACACCAGGTTAAACTCCACATACCTGCAGAGCAACACATCCTCACTGTAGGCTCAAAACTTCCTGTTCATTGTTTAAGGTGATCAGGTGCTGTATGAAAACACATAAGAACAAACCAAGGCAGCCCATGCTCTGGGTTTACTTTCACAGGAATAATATTGTAATGCGTATTTATTCATTTTGTTTTGTTACTGTGACAGGTTTGTGGTAGAGATGGCACGATACCACTTTTTAATGTCCGATACCGATATCATAAATTTGGATATCTGCCGATACCGATATGAATCCGATAGTGTTTTAATCAGTACGACTGTTTTATTAATATCTTGCTGCATTTTATACAAGTTCATACTCAAGTTTAAAAAAACAAACACTAAAGCTGTTCTGTTGAACCTGTGTGTAAAAACTATTTCATAGTTCAGCAACACTGATCAATCTAATAAACGTAAACCTGCTCCATCCTCCCTATTCTGGTATTTTAAAGAGTACTTAGCAGAAATATTAAGCAACCTGACTAATAGGGTTGAAAACGCCCCACAAAAAATAAATATCTAGGGAACCACCCCCACCCTCCGCTTCGTGATGCTTAATCGACGTAATCAACTTTCATTTCATGTGTGTAAAAGAAAATTCACAGAAATCAATTATTTTTCAAGAAATATTAAACAGATTCAACATCTTCCTTCAACAGATTTGCAGACTGCACAGATGGTACCTTCCCAAAGGAAAAAGTACTATAGCTTACTAGGGTATATTAGACTTAACAGTTACTACACTGAACAAAAATATAAACGCAACACTTTTGTTTTTGCTCCCATTCCCCATGGGATGGACGTAGAGACCTAAAATTCATTCCAGATACACAATATAACCATCCCTCCCAAACAGTGGTCACAAATCAGTCCAAATGTGTGGTAGTGGGCACATCTGCTATATTGAGATAATCCATCCCACCTCACAGGTGTGCCACATCAGGATGCTGATATCATGAGTAGTGCACAGGTGTACCTCAGACTGCCCACAACAAAAGGCCACCCTGGAATGTGCAGTTTTTTGCGCTATTGGGGGTCTGGGGACCCAGAACCGGTCAGTATCTGGTGTGACCACCATTTGCCTCATGCAGTGCAACACATCGTCGCATGGAGTCTATCAGATTGTCAATTGTGGCCTGTGGAATGTTGGTCCACTCCACTTCAACGGCTGTGCGAGGTTGTTGGATATTCGTGGGAACTGGTACACGCTGTCGTATACGCCGGTCAAGCACATCCCGAACATGCTCAATGGGTGACATGTCCGGTGAGTATGCTGGCCATGCAAGAACTGGGACATTCTCAGCTGCCATCTGCCCTGAACAATGTGAACCATGATTCATCCGTGAAGCGCACACCTCTCCAACGTGCCAGACGCCATCGAATGTGAGCATTTGCCCACACAAGTCTGTTACGGCGACGAGCTGGAGTCAGGTCAAGACCCCGATGAGGACGACGGGCATGCAGTTGAGCGTCCCTGAGACGGTTTCTGACAGTTTGTGCAGAAATTGTTTGGTTGTGCAAACCAATTGTTCCAGCAGCTGTCTGGGTGGCTGGTCTCAGACGATCTTGGAGGTGAACCTGCTGGATGTGGAGGTCCTGGGCTGGTGTGGTTACACGAGGTCTGCGGTTGTGAGGCCGGTTGGATGTGCTGCCATATTCTCTGAAACGCCTGTGGAGACGGCTTATGGTTGAGAAATGAACATTCAATGCACGGGCGACAGATCTGGTTGACATTCCTGCTGTCAGCATGCCAATTGCACGCTCCCTCATTGCTTGTGGCATCTGTGGCATTTTGCTGTGAGACAAAACTGCACATTCCAGGGTGGCCTTTTGTTGTGGGCAGTCTGAGGTACACCTGTGTCATGATGTCAGATCAGCATCCTGATGTGGCACACCTGTGAGATGGGATGGATTATCTCAATATAGCAGATGTGCCCACTACCACACATTTGGACTGATTTGTGACCACTGTTTGGGAGGGATGGTTATATTGTGTATCTGGAATGAATTTTAGGTCTCTACGTCCATCCCATGGGGAATGGGAGCAGTAACAAAGGTGTTGCGTTTATATTTTTGTTGAGTGTATATACAGTAATGGACTTCTATACATCAGATTAAAACTTTGGGTGTAAGATTCAGATAATTTTTTTATTAAAAGCTCGACATTTTAAATGAGAATAAGAAAGAAAAGTATGTCTTTGTGCCCCCTTTTCCCTGTTCATGCCCTATCGGCCCCCCTGGCTAAACTTTGCTAGATCCGCCCCTTTGCTTTACTTCTCTGGGATAACTTCCTCGGAGATGAAATGCCGGGTTGGTAGCGAGGCAGCAAATGCTGAACCAGACTGCCGACAGGCCTCGCACGCCACAGCCGCTCTGTCACGTGACGCATACTGCCCCGACGTGCGAAAGTTATGAGCTGAATTACGTCATGTCACAAGTTTTGTGAGGTGCTTTCTGTATGTGCCAACACATACCACACTGAGCTAATCTGAACAGTCTAATCACTCTACTGGTTTCCAGCTTGCTATGTACTTCCCTCTCAAACTCGCCCTTTAAGTCAGTCTCTGTGTTGTTAGCGACTCCCTGCCAGGATCCACTCCAGCTTCAGACCACACTGCAGTCATTAAGTAGCTCAATCACACAAGTGAAGGAAGACTAAACCTGAGACTGGCAGTCACTGCAAGTGTGTGGCCTGAAAAACAGGACGGACTGACTTGGATCAGCTGGTCTGTGAACCCTTTATAATTTTGTGTTTATTTGAGCTCAAATATTCTTAAAGGAAAATCTGAATAAAAATAATATCAAACTTTGATGTTTTACTTGTTGTAGAAAATGAGCAAAGGTGCAAAAATAAGTGAAGCTTTGTTTCGGTGTCTAGTGTGGATCCCTCCTGCAGCAGTAACTGTAACTAAAGCTTTGTGTCGATCCGACCTGTAGCTTCTTCCTCTGCAAAGCACAGCATCACCTCTGGGACGTCTGCGTTTCCTTGCATGACGTGCTCACTGCAGGTTCTTCTGCAACATTTCTGCGTGTCAGGACGCTCACTCTGACTTCAAAACGGTCCCTTTAGTCTTCTTCGACTCCTCTATGATACAAAGACTTGTGTGTTTAAGGTCACTGTGTTGATGTGTGAATTTTATTATTTGTGCAAAATCCAAGACGAGCATGAACAGCTCTTTGTTGAAGACCTCAGAAGTCTTGTTTGTAGACTTCCACAAAGATCTGAAAATCAAACTGATCAGATGGGTTCTCTCTTATTTACCGTTTGGTGCTACTCACCGGCCTCGTCGAACCTGCTGCCAGTCCTTCTCCTCATCAGAAAAAGAGTCATTGAGATGTTTGTACACGATGGGCAGATAGCAGGGCACCACCGTGCGGGCGCAGCTCTTGACGAAGCTGAACACTTCCTCCTGATTCGGGGAGTCCAGGTCGTCAAAGAAGATTCCTCCTATACCGCGGGTCTCTCCTCTGTGGCGGACGTAGAAGTACCTGTCACACCTGGGCAACATGCAGTAACATATACTGAGACAGAAGCAGGGCCAAATAAATATCCAAATATATGACATACGACAAATGAAGTCTGAAAGACAGATTTGCCTGTATGTTGATATCAGTATTTATAATGACCGAGTAATGAAAATTTAGAAAGTAAAATAAAACGTTTAAAAAAAAAAGAAAATGTCCTCTCAACCACGTTATGAGCAGTGATGTTCCAGTTTGTCCACCAGAGGGAGCTCTGCAACTTCTCTGTTGCTTGGACCACCACAAACACACCAACTCAGCAGATTCAACAAAACAGCAGTAATATCTTAGTGAGGATTAAAAATAAATATGAATTGTGTTTATGTTCCATTT